TAGCAGACCCAACAAAACAGAAACAACTGTCTGTGGGATTTTAAAGCTACCGTTGCTCCTGTAGCTCAAGGCCAGAAACTTAATGAAGTGATCCCTGTTGTGCCAATGAGCCAGCACTGACCTGCGCCTTCAGAGACTGGTTCCACAATGTGGCCAAAGGATTCACTTCCAGTTCACACCGGCCTGTGCTCGCAAGCCACAACCCCCTCATTCTCTGGGCTCCTCCAACGCCAAGCCGCTTGTGTGATTCTCAGACGGAGCAGCAACCCTAACCCCTCGCATGCACAGTCCAGAGCAGGGTTCAAGCTCCTCTGAGAATCAGATGCCACCACTGATCTGACAGAAGACGGAGCTCAGCTGGTGATACAAGCGATCAGGAGAGGCTGGAAGTACAGAGGAAGCTTGGCTCCGTCGCCTGACACTCACCTCCTGCTCTGTGGCCCAGATCCTAAGAGGCCACGGACCGGTACCGGTCTGAACATGGAGGCTGGAGGCCCTCTGGGCTACCCTAACAGGCCTTTCCTCGCCAACAACCTGTGCGTGTCTATACTGGAATGAATCCAGAGCTAATAACTGGGGTCTCACGGGCTTAATTCTAACTAGCTTTTATGGTTCTCAAACACCTCTTCTTTAAGAATGCAAAGGTCTACCACAAAGCCCACACTCAAGGAGACAGTTGCTTGTGATGTCTAGAACTCTGACACTCACCTCTACTAACACAGCCGTGCCTCCTTCCTGCAGCAGCCCAATAAGACCTTCTTTGGTCTTCCTCCCATGGAGCCTAGCAGCGTTACTCCAGCCCTCCTTCTGGGCCTGCTGATGGAGCCAGCTCTCTGCCTGTAAATGAAAAAGATAAGGGGCAGATGACATAAGCGCAGAATTCAGAAAGGAATGGGGCTCTAAAATATCTTCAGGTTCCCCAATTCTTTCCCCTTCTCCTAAAACCCACAACAGAAACCAATCTATCATTTACGGGCAGCATACCACCAAATGCCAGACAGTAGACATTGTGCCTGATGTTTAGTAAATTTTTAAAAATTATTTATTTGGCTTGTGGATCTTGGTTGCAGCATGAAGAATCTTCCATCTTCATTATGGCATAAAGGATCCTTAGCTGCAGCATGAAAACCATTAGCTGCGGCATGTGGGACCTAGTTCCTGGACAAGGATAGAACCAGGGTCCCCTGGACTGACAGCTTGAAGTCCTAGCCAGTGGACCACCAGGGAAGTCCCACGCCTGGTACTTTGGATAAGTTTAATCTTCACAACAACCCTACCGGGGGAGACGGCAGTATTTTCTTTATGCAAAAAAAGAACAATGTAACTCTTAAAGATTAAGAAAGGTATCCAAGGTTGCGGGGATTAGTGTGAGAGTACCAGGACCTGAGCGTTGGTCTGACGACTACAACAGCCTTGCATGGAATAGTGTGTGAGCCCTGGGATGCTGAGTCAGTTGCTTCAAAACAGGTAAGAGTCAAAGGGTGAGACTGCCATTAAAGTCAGAATCCTGTGTATGGGTCACTGGACAGCAGCCGGTGTGATTTCTACAGTCCCCAGCGCGACCTCTGGAAAGCAGTGGGGTAAGGCCCCAGTACCCCATCCCCGCTCCCCTCCACTTCCTTCCCCACACCTGTTTGAGATCCCCGTCACAAGTCTCCAGGGCTTTCTTGCAGTTTACAAACGAGTAGCCCGTTTTCCGCCGCAGCTTCATGAGGAGCTCCTTGCTGGAAGCCGAGGACAGCCAGGACCCAGAGTGAAATGTATGCCACGGCTGGGGCGACTGAAGCAGAGGGAGCCCGGCCTGGAAGGGATAAGAAGGGATGAGAAGCAGGAAGCGGCGAGGAGCTCCGGAGGAGGGAGCACGTCGGCCGGGGGACGACTTCAGGAGAGACGGGCCCAGAGGGTGAGGGGAAAGGCAGAGCCGGGACGCTGGAGCGCCAAGAGGCACCGAGGTGGGGAGAAGGGTGAGATGGAGCCGAACGCAGCCAGGGGAGGGGAAGGCAGCGTGCCGGGCGCGCGGGAGACCTGCAAGGAAGGCAGGAAGGGACCAGAGCCAAGCGCGCTCAGCTGGCAGCTCCCTGGCCGCACGACCAGGCAGAGACGCAATGACCGCAGCAGCGACATCTTCCCGTTGGCCGTTCGGTGCGGCCGGTCGGCGCACCTATGAGGCCACGGGCCTACGGCGTGGCAGCGGGGCCAAAACTCTCCACCAGAACGCGCCGAGCGGGGACAGCGCCACCTGCCGTCCAGGGCGCGCATTCGCCTCCCCACTTGGCCTACTGACTGCATTCCACACGAGAATTATTCCCCAGAGGTACAATGATGGAAGACATGAAAGCGAGTTGTCACAAAATAACAACACGAGACACGTGGTAAGGCTTTATGTTTATTTCCAGTGCTTATTTCTATATCCATTTATGGCTCACGGACAAACTTGTAAGGTAGGAGAGTGGGTTCCGAAGTTTGACCAAGGTCACCTGGGGAGGAGGCAGGGTGTTCCTCCAACAAACCCAGTAAACTACTTGTTGAACAAGCAGAAATATTTGATGTGTGCCTGGGACCATACAGCCCTACCCTCTAAGGTAATCTGATGGTGAGAAAATAGGGAGCAGACAAGTGATCACGCAAGACAAGGTAAATAAGCCCCAGGAGACAAAGAGTTAAAGGGTCTCAAAGGAGAAAAATCATATTCGAACAGGAGGCTCAGATAAAACTTTTTTCAGGCAAGAGGCTAAGAGCAATGAAGATTTTGAGAGGTAGAAATATGACCCAGGCAGGGAATGAATGAAGAAAGAAAGAATGAAGGAAGAAGTCAGAGAATTTTGATGTGGGCTTAGGGAACAAAGCAGACCTTTTTTAATTTGGCCAGAGGTGAGAACACGTGTAGGAAGCCAGTAGGAAATGAAATAGAAGGGTAATTTGGGGTCACACGGGATACACTGAGTACCAAGCAGAAGAGCTCATTCTTGCTTCTGTTGGCAGCAGCAGAAGCTAATCGGAGCTGATTGCGGAAGATTACAGGAGTTTACAAAACAGTTTGAATGGGAGTGAATGGAGGCTAGGAGGCCACAGGAGGTGATGTGTGACCCCAGGAGTAAGTCAAGAGAGGATCAATCAGAGGCCCCATAGTGGGAGGAAAGAGAGGTGAAGGAAAGCACGTTGGGAAGGAAGGACTGACAGGGCTTGGAAAGGTACAAAAAAAAAAAGATCAAAGAGAACCTGGAACTCAGCGATCAGGACTCCAACTCCAACAGACTGAAGGAGCTACAGTCCAAAGGACAGCTCTGCTCTCTAAGCCCAACTTCAGGGCTAGGAAGACTTGACCCAGTTAGAGCCACAGTTCCACCAGACTACCTCTAGAAGCAAGAAGTGGGTGGTCTGAGGTTTCTTGCTCCCCAGCACCCCCCAGCAAAAGCCCATGTTCTCTGGATGCAGAGGAGATCTTTAATGCTTGTTTTCCTTTAAAAAAATTTCCAATAGAATCTGGAGAAAATAATCCATTCTGTATAAAAAGACAATGGCGACAGACAGGGTCACGACTGTCTCTGCAGCCACTGTTTACGCCCCACCTAACCTCCCCTCCCCTGAAATCCTGGCTGCCCTCTCACCATCCTCTGCTGAGAACAGGAGCTGGGAATCGCCTCTGCACTCCAGCCCACTCGGCAAGGGATCCGGTACCCTCACAAGCGGCGCCTGTGCCTGCAGCTTCCCAAGAGGCGCCCAGGAAACAATGAGGGAAGGAGGAAAGGCAGGCAGAGGAGATCCAGCTGTTTCTGGTCCTTATGTTATGGCTCTGGAGACATGGCAGTTCCTTCATGAGAACGAGGCCTTCGGAGGAGCAGAAGGGTGACGTCAGGCAGGTCTCGGTCCCCTGTGCCTGGCCCTATAGATGTTGACATTTTCATCCTCATCCCGCTGGGCCAGCTCCAGCTGGAAATGCTGGGGCAGGAGATGCTGAAAGAAGCTCTCTGCCCCGTGCTCCTCTCTCATCTTGGAGGCCAGATAGATGGTGCCATGGGGCCCGCACAGGTGTCGGAGGGTCCCCAGCAGCAGCGGGAAGGTGGGCTCCAGGTACACGATATCAGCCCCCAGCACCAGGTCATAGTCTCCAGGGAAGACATGCTGGTCAATCCCCCAGGACAAGGCGCGGACCTGGGCCCGGCCTCCAGGGGGCACATTGGCCTGGACGTTGCCCTGGATCTGTTCTAGGACCAGGGGTAGGTCAGTGATGGTAACATCCCCCCCTGAGAGAGAGGAAGGAGGAGAAATGCAAGTCAGAGGGACCGACCAAGGGGTTTCAGCTCCTGCCCAGAATGACCAGAGACCTCGGGGCCTAGAAGGTAATGTTTTGACAGCCCAAAGTCCACACTTTGGATTTTAGCTGCCCTAACCTCAGCTTCATCCACTGCCATCACATTACTCTACATTCTACAACATCAACATTCTCGCTGAGCTAATCTTCAACCTCTCTGCCCAACACACAACAATCAGATGTCAGCAGAAGCCTGGGCAGGACTAAGCTGGAGGTGGGCTATGCACCCACCCCCTACTGACACAAACCAGCCTTCATGGATCTGGAAAGCTTCCCAGAAGACATGACCTCAGCAAGCCTTAAAGGGCAAGGAGGAGTTGGTCAGGTGAAGCTTCTCAAGCAGAGAAGAGAGAGTACAAAGGCCTGGTGATGAGAAAGCACAGCGTATGCGAGGAAGGCTAGAGCTCAAAGGAGGTGGCAGGGAAACGTGTTAGGGCATGAGAGTACAGAGGAAAATCGTTATGGCATGCTAAGGAGATCCAGGCTTGATCCTGAGGGCAACAGGTTTAAGGGCAGAAGCAGAGGGTAACGATGATTAGATCAGGACTTCAGAAAGCTTCCTTCATGCAGTAGGTACATGTACTGAGCATCTACCAAGTTCTGAGGGTACAGGGGTGAGCAAGACCAGACCTTGGCCTTCCTTGAGATTTGTTATAGAGGCGGAGTCAAATGAGGTAATGCAAAATGATTTAGTCATAATCATGGTGATTATTACAGAAACAGGAAATATTCAGAATTCATTCTTCCATTAATAGTCATTATGTGCCTATATGCCAGGTGCTGAGAATACAGCAGTGAACCAATCAGACAAGAATCCCTCCACTCCAAAGGCTTACAGTCTAGTGGCTAGAGATAACAGCAACAAAAAAATGAAATAAAACACACTGTAAGTCAGATGGTATGCTGAAGCAGGGAAGGAGGAGGAGAACTGCTTGAGGACAGGGCAGGGGATGTCACTTTAAACTGGGTAGTTAGGGAAAGCTTCAAACTGGTAGTTAGGGAGCAGATTATGTTTGAGCAATGACCTGTATGAAGTGATGGGGCAAACTCTATGGGTCTCTCAGATTAAAAGATACCAAATGAGGGACTAACAGAAAGAAAAGAGGTGAAGGTAAAACACATTAGGAAGGAAAGACTGACAGAGCTTAGAACCCCTCCCCCCACAAAAAAAAGCCATAAACGGAAGGACCAAGAATAAAGAGCTTCATGCAAGAGTTCACCTAACAAGTCTGAGGACCAGTAGGAATGCCTGTAGCTGGAGCAAAATAAGTGAGAGAAATAATCGTAGGGGTCAGATTCTAGACAGCGCCTTGTAAAGCAACCAAGAAGTCTGTTTTTCAGTCTGAGTGAGATGGGAAGCTATTGGAAAATTTGTAATGGAAGAATGTCATAAACGTTATGACTTTAAGAATTGAAGAATGGCTCTAAAGAGATTACTCTGGCTACTGTGATGAGGAAATACCACAGAGGGGCAAAGTCACAACAAACCAGTTAGGAGGCGGCTACAGTTACCCAGGTGAGAAGTGATCATGGCTTGAACCAGGGCATGGTTCAGATCCTGAATACATTTTGAAGGTAGAGTCAATACGGGGGTTTCTGACAAAGTAGATACGCACTATCAGAAAGAGAGGCTGAGGATGCTTCCAAGATATTTGGCCTGACAACCAGAAGATCAAAGTGTCATTTGTTTAGGTGAGGAGGGCTGCAGGAGGGGCAGGCTGGACAGGAAAATCACGAATGCGCTTCTGGACACATTACGTTTGACATGTTCATCGGACAACCACAGGAAGGTATCAGGTAGTCTGGAGGTTATACAAACAAGTCTGGAGATATCAGTAGGAGAGTCAGTCATCAGCGTGGAAAGGGCGCTTGGGCCGGGAGTGCAGGCAGAATAGGGGCGGGTGGAGGGCTGCTCCTGAGCCCTGGGGCACCCAGACTTCTGGTCGGGAAGCGGGACAGCCACCAACAAAGGGGAATGGAAACAGTGCCAGCGAGGTGAGAACCGGGGAGCCTGGCGCCTTGGAATCCAAAGGAGGGGTGTTTCACGGGCGGGGGGGTGACAACTGCCACCAAGTCCGGGAAGCTGGGCTCATACTGACTGCTGCACTTTTTTTCTCTTTAATATTTATTTATTTGGTTGCACCAGGTCTTACTTGCAGCATTGCAGGCTCTTCCATCTTTGTTGCAACATTCAGGTTCTTTAGTTGCGACCTGCGAACTCTCAGTTTCGGCATGTGGGATCTAGTTCCCTGATCAGGGATGGAACCTAGGCCCCCAGCATTGGGAGCTCCAAGTCTTAGCCACTGGACCACGAGGGAAGTCCCCTGACTGCTGCACTTAACAACAAGCAGTCCAAAGTGAAGCTCCCAATCTTGACTGGAGCTACTGGAGTGGAGAAGGCAAGTTGCAGGGCGGGGCGGTGTGAGGGGGTGTTCTGGAACGGAACTGAAGAAACAACAGGAGGAGAGGAACGACAGTGGGTATTAACTCTCCTGAGTTTCATCACAAAGCTGAGCAGAGAAATGGAATGGTAACTGCAGGGATGTGTAGGATCTGAGATAGGAGAAATTGTCGCATATTTATATGCATAATACACACAAACACACACATGGAATGATCCAGAGAGAAGGGAAAACAGAAACGCAGGAGAGGCAGGGGGCAGGGTATCTGCTTGAACAGTGTCGTGAAACAGATGAGAAGGTTTCGGGTCTCATGAGGCCTGGGGGGCTTGACCTCAGCTAGGCGCACAGCACGTCTAGCATCGTACCAGGAGAGAAGGCAGTGCAGACAGACACAGCTGGGTGAGTAGACACTGAGAGAGAACCCGTGGACAGTTCCTATAAGAAAAAAAGAAGCAATCAGAAGAGCTAGGGAACAAAATCATCGGCTGGGGAGAGAGAGACATTTGGAGGTATGAAAGGTGAAATGGTAAGAAATAAGATGTTTAGGAGAGCAGAGGAATAATTGGATGAGGGAGAGGTAAGAGGCTAGTGGGACATCATTTAAGGACACATCTGATGATAATGACCACAAATTTAAAACGAAACCAGTCAGCACAATTGTGTCTACAATACTAGAAGTAGCTAAGATAGCGTGCGGGTGGGAGTGTCCTGGAGGCCTTCCCTTGGAAGTGATGTTTGAGCTGAGCGCGGAAGAAGGCACATGCATTAGCCAAGCGGGACGCGGGGTATACACACGAGCGTGCAAGCGCAGCCTACGTGAAGGCTCCCAGGAAGGGGGCACGGAGACAGGCTTGCGGAACTGACAGGAGAGCGCTCGGTAGCACAAGGAGCTAGAGGGAGAGGGAGGCCATGCCCAAGGGACTGGTTCTGTCCTGCAGGCAGCAAGAAGCCACTGAAAGATGGGGAAGGGGTGCTGAGAAGATCACTCTGCCAGCTGGGTGGAGTGAGCAGAGGTCTAGGTGGGGGCAAGGAGTAGAAGCAGGAAGACCAGTCTGATTAACTGTAGCCATCCAAGCAAGTGACGGTGCCAAGGACTGGGGAGCCATCGGTGCGGACGGAAAAACAGGAGGTTCAGGAGATTTTTAGGAGTTAAATCAGCCAGACTTGGATAATGGAGATGGGGATGAGAAAAAGGGACATGTCAGAGGTGGGTCTAGATTCCCCACTGGTTGGATGGCAGTTTGCTTCACTATGATGGGGAAGCCTGAGGGAGAAACAGGTTTGGTGGCAGAAGATCACAAGATCTACTTTGGGCATGCCAAACTTCTCCCTAGGGAAGCTTGAAGACACTCGTGAAAATCCACGGGAAAGTTGGCAGTGGCCTGAACTAGAGCCGGGGGGAAGAGAACAGACAACTGTATTTAGGACATGTGACCCACAGGACTTGCTGACTGCCAGGATGCGAGGGGAGAGGGCAATGGATGAGAATGACACCCAGATTTCTGAGTGGGAAGCAGAACAGAAGACAAAAGAAGTCAGTCTGGAAGCAAGTGAAAGGTGTTTCCCTTGATATTACACATCTTTTCTGCCATTTTAGCATAGCTGCCCACTTATCTACTCATCCTTCATGGAAAGCTGCTGGTGACACTCCTTCGGTTCTTTCTGAGCCTGCTATGTTCATACTCCTCATCTGATAGACCTTCTTCTTGATGGATTCCCAGAGAGTCAAGGGAGACACAGCCAGAGCATGTCCACTGGCTCTGCACACACCTCTCTGTAACATCCTGTAACATCTTCCCCCATCTTCAACACTAGACCATGAACTCCTTGGGGAGAGGAAATCTGTCTTACTCATTGCTGTATCCCAATACCTAGCACAATTCTTGGCACATATAGGACTCCAAATACATGTTGGCTGAATGAATAGAATAAAAGAATGAAAGCCTGCTACTGGGAAGATTTCCCTGAATGTGTTTTGTGTTATGTCCCTGTGAACGAGGACATGTTAATTTGCATTCCTAGGGAGATGTCATTGTAAGTGTTTTTAAAAGAATGTTTTCAGTGTGAAGTTTTGCCTGCCCATCAGATTATAAACCAAGGAACTTTTTCCTTTGTAGTTTCTGATTCTTGACAAAAATAAAGAATTTTTACCTTTTTCTTTCCCAAGTTGGCAGTGCCTAATTCCTACCCCATTTCCCACAAAACACAGCCTAACCCTCAAAAACTCATAAGCTTGTTCCTCCCAAGCAATCAAAACCTAAAGAATCAAAAATATAGTCACAGTGAAGTTATAAACTACTCATGAGGTTTAACACCTGCAGATTACTCCCTCTAGAGAGTAATTCCATATAGGCATTTTAACAGAAAACCATTAGATTTTTCTCTGACAGCATTGTCCAGGAAATCGCAAAAAGGTAGGAAAAACTCCTATTAAGGCCTGCCCAAATTTTATTTCCTGCCCACCCGCCTCAACCAATCACCATGGGTGCTGGAACAGCGAATCAGCACTGTCTGGCACACAGGAGCAGGCAGGGGCAAAAAAAAAAAATGTTAAGTTTGTTTTAAAAAAAAAACACTGTGTTGCTCCCAAACCACTCTCCCTCTCTCAAGAACCCAGGAAGTGACAAGTTCTCTACATCCCCGTTCCCCTCACCCCCTCCCACCGCAAAGCTCACGCACCCTGCAGTGCTGCCAAGATTCCCACGATACCAGTCCCCGCGCCCAGTTCGATCACTTTCTTGCCTCGGAAATCCACATTTTGACTCTCGAAATAGTTGCACAGGCTTAGAGCCTATAGGAGAAAAAAGAGGAAATACAAGATTGCAGCGGGGATGACTCCGTATGGGAGAGCGGGAGTCCGGGGGTCCCCGCGGACCCTAGCCCTGGGCCGCCCACTCCTCACCGCATCCCACACGCGCGCTGCCACCCCGAGGCGGGACCCGAAGTTCTCCGTGATATTCAGCACGTGCCCACAGAAGCAGAACCTGCTCTTCTCCGAGTAGCAGTCGGCGAAGAGCCCGACCTCACGTGGGAACACCGAATCGGGCTCTGACTCAGGATCTGGGCGGGAATCTGCCATCTGGCCGAGAGAATGCCCAGACGCCAGCCAGCGCTCGGATCCCTGATCTGAAGCGGGGTGGGGGTTGGGGGACAGCCAGCCCCACGGCTGCCCCGTGGCACCGAGCCCCGCCTCCTCGAGTTTGCCCTCCTTCCTCCAGTCTGACTTCCTGGAGCTGGGATGAGGGGCTGCCTCCCTGGCTCCGGTCCCCAGCGCACAGCCGACGGGACTTACACCGGGCTACGGGGGTCAGACCCAGGGCACTGATCGGAGCCCGGGAGGAGGGCAGAGGAACGAGGATTGATTCAACGTAGGAAAGCGGGGTCCCTGGACCCCTCTCACCTGCGGGGTGCACAGGGGCCTGCAACAGGGCTAGTAACCCAGACCAAACAGAAGCAAGCTAAGGACAGAGGCGGGCTGCGAGCCTGGCCTTGCCAGCCCAGCTAAAGACCAGCGGCGCGGAAGTACCCTCCCGCGCGGCCCCGCTGCGGGCCTCCCCGCCCAGCCCAGCCGAATTCACTCCTGGGGGTTTAAGGGGAGGGCTCTGAGCTTACGTGCCTGGCCGCGTCATTCTCGTGCGCCCAGAGCCTAGTTCTCCACGTGGGTTCCGCAGAGAAACTCGCGCTGGAGATCATGGCGGGAACCGAGGCTGGGGACGCGGCAGGAGCCGAGGCCCCACAGCCTCAGAAGCGCTACTATCGGCAGCGGGCTCACTCCAACCCCATGGCGGATCATACGCTGCGCTAGTGAGTGAGCAGGGGGCGAGAGGAGGGCAGAATTCTCGGATTAGCCCCGAAAATCGATCGCGCTTGAACGGTTGGGAGGGTTTAGGGGACTCTAGGGAGGACCGCTGGGTGACGTCAGCTTTGTGTGTGGTGGCGCGGGGAGGGGGCGGGGTAAGATTCGGCAGAGGGCGGAGTTTGCGGGCTGGAGGGGGCGTGGCGTCCTGGCCGACGTCTGGGTAGGATTGCTAGGCTGGGAAGAGAGAAATTGTTACTGAGACTAGAGTGATGGAGGGAGAATGTCGTTTCCATCTTTCAGTTTAATCTGTGAAATTCAGCAAAAGGCAAACTTGGAGGGAGGGAGAAATTGGGAGCCTGGGATCCACATGTACACACTACTAAAGCAGATGACTAATAAGGACCTCCTGGATAGCACAGGGAACTGTACTCAACCATCTGTAATGACCTATATGGGAAAAGATTCTAAAAAAGAGTGGTTACATGTATATGTGTAACTGAGTCACTTTGCTCTATAGCATAAACTCACACAACATTGTAAATCAAGTATACTCCAATAAAATCAGTTTTAAGAAAAAAGAGGAACTTCCACACAACCCCACCCACACCTTACTCCATCCTCTTCCCGCAGAGAACTTCAGCAAAGACAAGTCCCAGTGCCTTAGGCAGCCAGTCTCTGGGACAAGGGGAACTTGAACCCCAGAAAGGAGAGATGCTCAGTCAGTCACATCAACCCTGGGAAGGGAGATAGGCGGATCACAGTCATGGGCCCCATGATAGGCCGATGATTCATACTGGGGGTTAAGGGTGGTTTCCATTGTGCTCCCTAGAGGCCAAAGGGCCCACTCTTACAGAATTTTTGAGAAACCCTCCTCTCATGCATCTCCCACCCTCACCCATCCACCCACACACATAGTACCACTTCCACAATGGCGTAACCACATTTCTCACGCCTTCTCTCCACTAGCCCTGTGAAACCAGAGGACATGGACTGGTCTGAGCTATACCCAGAGTTCTTTGCTCCACCGCCTCAAAATCAGAGCCACGACGACCCAAAGGATAAGAAAGAAAAGAGAGCTCAGGCCCAAGTGGAGTTTGCAGACATAGGCTGTGGCTATGGCGGCCTGTTAGGTAACACTCTGGCCCTCTCTCTGGGGCAAGGAGAGGCAGTGCCTAGGTTCTGCCACCTCAGCAGGTTTGCTGGGGGCCATAGTTGGCCTTTCCCCTTCGGACCAGACACTGCTTGCTGTGACATCGTTGTGAAGAACCTCCACCTTCCCTCTACTCTGGGTCTGTGGCCTTCGCCCGGGAGAAGGGAGGGGGCTGCCTCAAAGCCTCTTAGAACTTGAGTTGTCTTGGTCTGGCCCTGCTCCTGGCTCAGGTCCCTACATGAGCCATTTCACCTGCCAGGTGCCGGGTCAGTGAGCTGGTCAGCACTAGCGTCAGAGATTAGTTGCTGTGGCCAATGATCCTGAACTGTCTTTCTCGGGGATTCCACATCCCTCTCCCTTCCCCCTTCCTCACCAGAACTCATTCCTTCTCCAAGATCCTATTTTCAGATTTCTCTTATATCGCCTGTGTTGTCCCAGCCATGAGACCCACTTCTCTATGTAGAACTCTTCCATGGAAAGAGCAGCGTGACAGAGAGGAAGAGCATAGTACTTGGTGGCGGGAAACCGTGGTTCCAAGTTCCAGCTCTGTGGCTTCAGCCATTTCCCACCCTCAGTTTTATCATCCGTGCAGTTTACCGCATAATGTCATGAGAATTAAGTAAGACAATGTGTGGGAACACTGTGCAGATTTTAAGGAATGTGCAAAGACACATGTGTTGCCAGGCCTTCCCACTTCCGGTTCTGGTGACAATTTTGGGGTGCCCCTCAGCCTCTCCAGCACAGAGCTATCCATATAGGTAGCTCTGTGGCCACACTTTCCATCCCTGATTTGGGTAATTGCTGATTGAGGCTTCCTTTCCTGTGTTGACCCCTCTGTACATCCTGTAAGGATGAGGTTGATTCTGTTTCTGTGTCCAGTGGAACTGTCACCGCTGTTCCCAGACACGCTGATTCTGGGTCTGGAGATCCGGGTGAAAGTCTCAGACTATGTACAAGACAGGATCCGGGCCCTGCGAGCCGCTCCTGGAGGTGGTTTCCAGAACATCGCCTGTCTCCGCAGCAATGCCATGAAGCACCTTCCTAACTTCTTCCGCAAGGGCCAGGTGGGGCGGGGCCCCCGGGGTTTAGGCTGGTAAGCAGGTGGGGTGTGGAGGCCGGTCTCTCACCACCCTGTCGGTGCTTGACTGTCTCACAGCTGGCAAAGATGTTCTTCCTCTTCCCTGACCCACATTTCAAGCGGACGAAGCACAAGTGGCGAATCATCAGCCCCACACTGCTGGCAGAATATGCCTACGTGCTGAGAGTTGGGGTGAGTCGAGAGCAGGAGGGAGGACAGGGTAAGGGGTCTAATAAGGGGCTTTCCAACCGAGAACGCAGTGGGGGGTTCGCTGGGGACTCGCCACCACCCCCATCGCCCCGCTGCTCGGCCGCTCGCAGCGCGCCTGCAGAGTGACTTTGCTTGCGCAGGGGCTCGTGTACACCATAACCGACGTGCCGGAGCTGCATGAGTGGATGTGCACCCACTTTGAAGGGCACCCCTTGTTCGAGCGTGTGCCTCTGGAGGAGCTGGTAAGTAGGGAGCCCAAGAGAAACTGCGGAGAGTTACGGAAAGATCCTTGCCAGAGTGGTTCTGTCTTCTTTGAATCCAGCTTAATGCCCAGAGGACGGGATGACTATAGGGACCAGGGCAATCTGAAAGATGGGCAAGGACTTTCTGGACCCTTCCTTCTCCCAGAGTGAAGACCCCATTGTGGGACATCTGGGCACCTCAACGGAGGAGGGAAAGAAAGTTGTACGCAATGGAGGAAAGAACTTCCCAGCCATCTTCAGAAGAATACAGGATTCCACCCTCCAGGCAGTGACTCCCACTCCTACCCCTCCTGGTCACTGACTTTGCCTTTGTCTTAGTGGAACCCCATATTTGGGGGACTGGAAAGGAGATTGGGCCCTTGGACCTTCCCAGCTGAGCCTGCTACACAGGGAGCAGGCAGCAGTCTCTCAAGTTGAAGATCTGCCCAGGGCAGGACCCTGGGGTTCAGGACCGCCCCAGACCCCTCTCAGGGGCAGCAGAAAGCCAAAGCAGCTGACTGGGAAGGTCAGAAGACCTTGGGCCAGAAGAGATCCTTGGAAGGGAGTGGGACTTGCTCTTCCTTAGCGCTCCCTTCTCCTAGGCGCTCTCCTCAGCTGGAGCGAGGAATGCAGTTCTCCACGGTCCATCCAAACTGCCTGCTAGACTCAAATCACCTGCCTGCTCACGTTTGCTTTACGGTTCTGAGGCTAACATGTATATGTGTGCGCATACACATGCTGCTGTTTTTGAAGAAAGGCTGGAGTGTGGATCACTCCCATCCTCTCCCAGCCTAAGACTTGACCCGGGGAATTCCTGTTCCCTTTGTTCTTGCTGTCTCTGGAGATCCTGGGAGGGTGTGGTGGTGGAGACCCCCTCCCTCCTCAGGTTGACCTTTGCTTTGATTTCAGAGCTGGCTGACTAGCCCTGAACCTGCTTGTGGAGGGCGGGAGTAAGGAGCAGAGAGCTGAACTGGGGAGGATTCTGAGGCTAAAAGTGGAAAGGGGCTGCTGACTAGAACCCCCCCCCCACCAAACACACACAGCAGACTGAGTCAGCTGGAGAGTCAGAACTCTCGCTTAACCCTTGCTCTGTCCAGGAGCCCAGCAAAATCTCTCAACTTTTCTAGTTTGCAATAAGTTTCTTCATTTCTGCTCCTCAAGTCCCATATTCCCATGGCTGGTAGGACACGGCTTGTTGACCCAAAAGACCAACCCCCTCTCCTCAAGGAATAAAAATGAAGGCTCCTGAAACCATTTTAACCCATGAACCCACCTGGGGGATAGGGGCAGGGGGAGCCATGTGGCAGTGCAGAAAAATTCCCGGGTACAGAAAAGGTGCAGCCCAGCGGGGCAGGAATCTGAGGAGAGCTCCAGCTGTGCCTCTTCCCGCTCTTCTTCCTGGAGGAGCTGGAGGTCGGGAATTCCCGAGGAGGGCCCCCGGGGGTGGGGGGTGGGGGGGGCGAGCTCCCTGGGGAAGTGGTGGGAATACTGGGGACTGAGTCCGTATCGTGGTCAACTAAACCTCACCAAATAGACTTTCTGAGAAAGAGATCTTTAGGCTGATGGACTAGGGCACCAGCCCAGGAGAAACTGAGGCAAGCCTGTCCTGGTAACGTGAGACCCAAGGGTGCTACCTCGGCCGCTCCGGCCCCGCCTACTGTTCCTGGGTGCTAATCCCCAGCACTCAGGAGAGGGGATTGGCTGAGGACCTTGGAGGGGGCGTCGCCACTACCGCGCCCAAGAGTTAAATAGGAGCCGGGCAAGATGCTCTGGAGGAGCGAGCTTTGGTGGGTTCCCGAGCCAGACCATGACCCAGACCCTCAAATTCGCATCCAGAGTGTTCCATCGCGTCCGCTGTCCTGAGCTGGGTGCCTCACTGGGCTCCAGAGGCTCCGACTCAGCGCCCCGGGTTTTGGCGGACCTCCCAGGCCCCTCCACGCCCGGTTTCCTTGCGGAGCTTTTCTGCAAAGGGGGGCTGTCACGGCTACACGAGCTGCAGGTAGAACGGGGCGCTGTTCCCACGACTGAAAGCTGGGGAAGTTGGCTTTCACAAACCCTAGTGCAGAACGGAGCAGGGAGGGCGGGTGGGAACGGATGCCCATGAGTTACGAAAAAGACGAAGTTGGGACTGGGAGCGGTGGCTCGCGGGACGCGGAGTTCTCTGGATACCCCGCGGAGGAGTGCGTTCAAAACGCGCCTTCTCGCCCTTCAGGCATCTGGAGGCTCGTAGATCCAGAACAAGTGCGCGGGAGGCGGGACTCTCTTAAAGCTAGTACGCTCCCACACCTTCTGTGGGGCTCGTCCTAAGATGAACAGTCCACAGGAGGAGCCTTTAGGGGTTTCTCCGCCCAGGTGGCCAAAAAGCGGTGCTGAGTGTCAGCTTTGCGCCCAGCTCCTCCGTTTTGCCCATCACACCCAGACTTCCTAGGATGGGGAGTGAGGGAGAGGGGTTTGCAGCATCAGAGCCATGCACCACTTGGGAGCAGAGGCTCCCCCTTTCAAGCCCGAAGCAGCGCCCTTGGAGTCGGCGCAGCCCCGCCGGGAGCCCCGGCCCGGGCCTCAGGTCCGCTGCTCGCGCTCCCCCAGGTGCGGGGCGCCGCGCGCTTCGGGCCGGTGTGGTCGGCCAGCTTCGGGCCGGTGCGCACCGTGTACCTGGCGGCCCCTACGCTCGTCGAGCAGCTGCTACGACAGGAGGGACCCCGGCCCGAGCGCTGCAGCTTCTCACCCTGGGCGGAGCACCGCCGCCGCCGCCAGCGGGCTTGCGGACTGCTGACCGCGTGAGTCCTCCGGCCCCAAAGCCCCCGACGTTCAGCTGCCTTCCTCCCTTGCGGGCTGGAGACAGTCTGGGGAGGTGGAGGAAGCTGGCCGTTCTCCCCAACCTTCTGGCAAACAGGTTCCCACCCCAGTCCGTTTCGTTCAAGCTCAGGTGGAGCCCGGCTCTCGAGCTTTTTCACCTTAGCTTTTGAAGCCGGAATCTTGGGGACTCGCGGAAGGGGCCGAGGCACCAGGATCTAGATGCAAAGGAAGATTCTGTGACTCAGCTTACCCAGGAACCCAGGCCCCTCCTGGGTTCAGGGGCAGGAAATGAGTAACGAGGAGTGGGGATGGAAAGCGGGTGCAGGCAGGGTCAGACTTCTGTACCCCCGAGGGAGAAGACGCTATCCCTCTCCTGGCCACCCCGGCCCGACACGCTCCATCTCCAGCGCCACCAGCCCCGTCGGGTCGCCTCTCCACACCACCGTTTGCCCTGATGCGCCCCCTCCCCGCACCCCCACACAGGGAAGGGGAAGAATGGCAGAGGCTTCGCAGCCTCCTGGCCCCGCTGCTCCTCCGGCCTCAAGCGGCTGCCCGCTATGCCGGGACCCTACACGGCGTGGTCCGTGACCTTGTGCGGCGACTGCGGCGCCAGCGGGGACTGGGCGCTGGGCCGCCCGCCCTGGTTCGAGACGTGGCGGGAGAGTTTTACAAGTTTGGACTGGAAGGTGAGTCCCAGGACGGGAACACGCGTAGGAGGCACCTGGGCCGGGTCTCGGGGTGCCCTGACAGCGCCCCCTCCCGGCCAGGCATTGCGGCGGTGCTGCTGGGCTCCCGCCTCGGCTGCCTGGAGGCGGAGGTGCCCCCAGACACAGAGACCTTCATCCGCGCGGTCGGCTCGGTGTTCGTGTCCACGCTGTTGACCATGGCGATGCCCAGCTGGCTGCACCGCGTCGTGCCCGGACCCTGGGACCGCCTCTGCCGAGACTGGGACCAGATGTTTGCATTCGGTAAGGCACGGACAGGTTAGGCGTCCCGGGTGCGCTGGGCTTTCCAGGTGGCGCTAGTGGTAAAGAATTCGTCTGCCAGTGCAGGAGACATAAAGAGATGAGGGTTCGATTCCTGGGTCGGGAAGATCCCCTGGAAGAGGGCATGGCAGCCCACTCCAGTATTCTTGGCTGGAGAATCCCTGTGGACAGAGGAGCTGGCAGGCTATAGTCCATGGGGTCGCAGAGAGTCAGGGACATAACTGAAGCGACTTAGCAGGCTCACACACAGCAAGGCACGGAAATGTGTGGGGCTGGGGGAACATGAAGCTGTTCCCAGGCGGTGAGGAACACCCTGTCCCCGTCCGCACAGCCCAGCAGCACGTGGAGCAGCGAGAGGCTGAGGTGGCCATGAGGAGCCAGCTTGGGAAGTCTGAGGAGGACGCGGGACCTGGGGCACACCTGACCTACTTCTTGCTCCGGAAAGAGCTGCCTGCCGCGTCCATCCTGGGCAATGTGACGGAGCTGCTCCTTGCTGGGGTGGACACGGTGAGGTTCCCCCTCTGTGTTGGGAGCCTCACTTCCACAGCTTACCCTCCTCCATCTCGGGGCTATTTCCCTGCCGCTGGAAACCCACTGTGGTCCGCTAGGCCAGCTTGGCTTAGCACCTCCTGGGGTCCAGACTGCCTCATATCCTGCCCCCTATGCTGGGTCCCCACTCTCAACACCTCTAACGCTTCCCCCTGTCCCCGCAGGTGTCCAACACGCTCTCCTGGGCTCTGTATGAACTCTCCCGGCACCCCGAAATCCAGACAGCACTCCATGCTGAAATCTCAGCTGCCTTGGGCCCCGGCTCCAGTACCCAACCCTCGGCCACTGCTCTGTCCCAGCTGCCCCTGCTGAAGGCCGTGGTCAAGGAAGTGCTGAGGTGAGGGGGCAGGAGAGGAGAGCTAGAGAAGATGCTGGGGGAGGGCTGGGGGAGCATACAGGGGGTGGGAGCTGGGAGGGAGGGTGCAGGACAACGCTTCTCTCCCCCGGCCAAGAGTGGGTCTGGAAGGCGGGTGGCAGGAGAGGAAGGCTGTGGCCCCTGCTTCACCCTGCTGTCTCCCCTTTGTGGTCTGCCACCCAGACTGTACCCTGTGGTACCTGGAAATTCCCGTGTCCCAGACAGAGACATCTGTGTGGGTGAATATATCATCCCCAAAAATGTGAGTAGAGCCTACGGGCCCCTCCTGCTAAGCCATCCCTGCCTTGGGACTGTTGTGGTTCTCAGATACTCCCCATAAGCCCTTCAAACCCTCTCCCTGGCCTCTCTGGGATGTAATGGGGCAGTAGGGAAAAGTAGCTCCAGAAAACGGCCGAATCACAGTCAACCAGAACCTGCCTTCCTCCCAGTCCACAGGTCCTGTTCTCTCCCTCCCTCCTGGCATTCTTGGGCCCAAATTGACAAGTTTGTTTTCCTCCCTCACCAGACGCTGGTCACTCTGTGTCACTATGCCACTTCAAGGGACCCGGCCCAGTTCCCAGAACCAAATTCTTTTCGTCCAGCTCGGTGGCTAGGGGAAGGTCCAGCTCCCCACCCATTTGCATCTCTCCCTTTTGGCTTTGGCAAGCGCAGCTGCATGGGGAGACGCCTGGCAGAGCTTGAGCTGCAGATGGCCTTGGCCCAGGTGAGTGATCTAGATCTTCTACCTGCCGCAGAGCAGAGGGCTCTAGAGCCACATCTCTCCTTCTGATAGTCATGCTTTGCTGTTGTTCAGTCACTCAGGCATCTCTGACTCTTTGCAACCCACAGACTGTAGCCCACCAGGTTCCTCTGTCCATGGGATTCCTCAGGCAAGAATCCTGGAGTGGGTTGCCATTTCCTTCTCCAGGGGATCTTCCCGACCCAGGGATTGAACCCACATCTCCTATTTGGCAAGTGGATTCTTTACCACTGAGCCACCTGGGAAGCCCTCCTGACAGGCATATGGAAATATTTAAGACTTGGGAGACCTAATCCTCTGAAATATGTCAGTCCCATCATAGGCCCGGAGGGTGAGTGAGGGTCTTTGGACCATCTTTTTCCCTACCATAATCTCTTACCCTCAGTGACTAAGACATCCCCTAGTAGCCACAGGTGCCATTCCCACACTGACCATCCTAACACTAATAATACCCGTTGCCAACCAAACCCAGCACTGTAGACCCCTCCATAGTGATGGCCTTCTTCCTCCCTTTGCAGATCTTGATCCACTTCGAGGTGCAACCTGAGCCAGGTTCTGCCCCCGTCAGACCAATGACCCGGACTGTCCTGGTACCTGAGAGAAGCATCAACCTACAGTTTGTGGACAGATAGTCTGGTGGAAACAGGCTGTTATCATCACCGTGTCTCTCATCATAGGGGTTTATTAGGCATGAGACCAAGAGATGTATATTTCTCTGCAGTCTGTCTGGTTAGAGAGACCATAGCGAAGTGCTTGAAGCAGCCCTGATCGAGGTAGGAAGCATGCACCTGGCCTGACCCAGCAA